GACCCCTTAACAATATCAATCGACTCACGCCACGCTCTATATCTCAGAATCCTCCACTGGCTTGTCGGCTGACTAAATTAAATCCAAAGCCCTTCTTTAAATCAATTTCCTCTGAAAAGGGTATTTCAGGAAGTGTTGGTGAGAGTATGCATATAGACAGATCTCTTGGGAGGAAAATCCGGCTGTATATATATATATATATTAGAACTAAAAATAACCACAACAACGAATGTTGACTCAGTATTTCCACTCTTAGGTGTCTAGTCTACAAGAGCAAGTGCACAAGCGCCCGAAGGTGTGTGTGCAAGGACGTTCACTGCACCACTGAACTTTTCAAGCTCATGTTATTGCTTCAATAATAAGAAAAAAGAAAAAAATAATAAACAAAAAAAGAAAACAGTTCATCTTCCCCAGAGAGTAAGGTCGAAGCAGCTACTGAGCAGAGCAGACTACAGCTTTATTGAACAGGAGATTCTGAAGGGTAATGCTGAGCGAAGCAACTTCTGATGGCACTGCCACCCTCTGGGAGGCCTCAGGTATCCACCAGAGCTCGGAGGTGCCCCTTCCAAAGGCACCTAGTAATTCCACAGTCTGTACGAGGTGAACGGCCTACCTAGCCGCAGCTGACTGGACCAGGGCAGGGCACCTACACCTATGGCAGCTAATCCATTGGTTGACCAGAGGTCTGCAGGTGGACAGATCCTAGTCTATAGCTCAAAGGGGCACACTTCGATTTCCCCTCAGGTAGTCTAAACACGATGCTCACCCACAGAAATCAGCAGCTGGCAATGGGGCAAAACCCAACTGAAATACAGACAAGGCAGCGAAGGCAGCGTGTCAGCAGATGGAGGGCGCGCACGAGCAGAAACTGGAAGTCCTGCTGTCCTGTCACAATGTCCTTCCGTGAGGCGGGGCTGACCTCGGCCCGGCCACCTTCCTTCCCAGCTGTCTTAGAATGAGTGCTCTTTAAACTCTATTTTACTACAGAACTGCTTTTTTTTTTTCCAACTGTAAGGAGTTTAACAGAACATTAAGTTAAGGAATGAATTAAGTCTTGCCACGTCTTAACCTCTGGAAAGATTATGGTTCCTGCTCTACCCTCTCATTATGTGTAATTCAAAATAAAAATAAGTAAGAAACTCACAGGAAAGGTAACCAAGTTCTTATAAGTCAGATTTCTTTTCCTTTAATCATTTTATGAAATACTAATGTTTTTTTTTTAAAAAAAAAAAAGTCTAGTTACCTACATCTGTGCTTAGCTTGCCTACCAGGTAATCAGGTGTGACCCGAGGGAAGTGGGGCTACAAGGACACCTCGCAGACCAACACGCCTCACCTGCTACAAGCTGCGCACCGATGGACTAATGACAGCTGCCAGTTCGACAGGCAGCGTGGTTTTAAATTTGTTTTTTATATTTTGTGGCATGTTTACAACTGGATCACAGAAAACAAGAAGTAGGCATGTAAACCATATTTTATTACCCAAATATTTCTTAATATTTTTCAACTCTGTTAGAAAATGATTATAGGAATGTATTCAATCATTAATTTAAAGCTCAGGCAGCCTACCATCGGTAGGTACCAAGGAGTCAGGGGAATGAATTTTAAATTTTCTTTTAACACATCAAATACAAAATACTTTTCTTCCTAATCGGTCATCAAACAGATTTAGAGGCTACATAGCAGGAAAGTCGAGGGCCTTGATACTTCCATTCCATACGTTATTTGTTGGTCCACGATGGAGGAAGAATGAAGGGGACAGAAAGGATGCACTTCCAAAGCGTCCGTTTGCAAGGTTGGAACAGAGAAGCTGGACTCTCACATACGGGCTGCACCATTAACCCGGCTCCTGCTGGCCCGCCTGTGAATCCAGTATTTGCATTTTCTGAGGAAGCCACAAGGCGACCTTTTGCTCAGAGCGGCCTCCTGGAGGACTTCTGAAGGCAGAGTGTTGGATGTCTGACCAAGCTTGGCCATCTCACATCAGTGGCTGCCCAGCTGGTGACCTACAATAACGGTGTGTCTGAATCCAAGCTGTATTCTCTCTGGGTTAGAGCATCAAGTGGACACCGAGGCATATTCCCAAGGAAAAACTCGCTCTGCCCATTAGCAGTGTCTCCCCCTGGCCCTCCTCTAGGCCTCTGGGAACCTCTGCTCTACTGTCTATCTCCATGAATTTGCCTATTCTGAACATTTCATACAAAAAGAATCATTCGATCTGTGGTATTTTGTCGCTGGCTTCTTTCACGTAGCATAACGTTTTCAAGGTTTGCTGACTCGCTCCTTGAATGAGTTTTGACTCACACCCACGCAAACTGTTTTCCAAATAGTAACAGCATATTTTGGATACTCATGGATAGATATGAAATAGCTTTCCAAACGCACAGCTCTTGAGTTTCCTACTGAAGTCACAAGGCTAGATAAACTCTCAAAATTAGAGACAAAAACAAGCAAACAAAAATAGAACAAAACAAAACAGAAAACAAAGCCACCGAGTTCTGCCAATTTACAATGCATATCCTACAGAAAATGCAAACCGGGTTCTTTCATATCAATGCATCCATGCCTGGCGGTTAAATCCCATTATTATACACACACACTCATCCTTCCCCAAATCCTCACTCTATTTAAAGAATAAAAGTCAAAGGACCTCTTATAACTCAAAATATGAATGGCCTGATACAAAATGGACAAACGCGTCAAATACTTCACTCAAGAGGACACACGAACAGCACACGGGCCTGTGGACACGTGCTCGGCATCACCAGCCTCCAGGAAAACGCAAATCAAAACCACAGTCAGGCTCCACTTTACACTCATTTGTTTGTATGGCTACAACAAAAGATATTCATGATGCTAAGTGTTGGCAAGGATGTGAAGAAACTGCAACCCTTGCACATTGCTGAGGAATATAAAATGGTATAATGACTTCTGAAAATAGTTTGGTAGTTTCTGTAACAATTAAACATATACTTAACCACCACTTCCAGCATCCCTAGGTATATTCATAATACAAGTGAAAACATAGCTCCACCAAAGACACAAATGCCCCACGGCCCTTACACTAATGTCCATACTATTACTCATAATATCCCCAAACTGGAAATAACCCAGGATCATAGAAGGAAATCAAGTGCATCGATGTGTGACAGGTACCCAACATGTGGCAGGTCCATACAACAGAATACAATCAGCAATAAAAGGGAACACGCTCCAGGCCACGCACACCATGCAGGAACCAAAAACGCATTATGCTAATTGAAAGGAACCAGACAAAAAAGACTACATGTGGGATAATACCATCGGAATAAAATTCCTGGCAAGGGCTGCTTACGGAGACAGAGGCAGGTCGTGGTTGTGTGACGCCAGCAGCTGGGTCTGGTGGGAGGCAGAGCAAGTGTCAGTGGGAGGAGGGAGTGTGTGACGGTAGCAGACGTGTTCAAAACCTGGATTGTGCTGAGCACCGCACAACTGGATAAACTTATACTAACACTCATTGAACTCTTTCGATAAAATGGGCGAACCGTACACTACGCAAAGTATATCTCAACAAAGCTTTAAAAAGAAACAAAGACCAAGTACATATTCACGGACACAAACCTCAGTAGCGCCGCTGACCTCACATGGGCTCCCCATCAACAGGTAATCGTGACATAAAAATGTTGGCCGCTCATTCTTACACAAACAAGTGCTCACATTTTTGGGCAGAGGACTCCTTTACACTCTTAAAATTAATTGAGATCTCAGAGAACTTTTGTTTATGCAGATACTATCTGTCAATATTTACCATATTATGCAATTAAAATGAAGACCTAAACAAATCTTCAATGATTCAATCTAAACTAACAATAAACCTATAGATTAGCAAGAAGAATGTATGTTTAATGAAAACTATAGTTATTTTCCAAAGCAAAAGAAAATATAGTGAGAAGAGTGGAACGTTAACCAGGTTTGCCAATATTTTAGCGTCTGGCTGAATACAAAACAGCCATATGCCCATATCTGCTCCTGCAGTCAGTCTGCTTTAATCTCACACATGATGCAGCCCCCTGGAAAACCCCACTACAATCAGGAGAAATGAGAGTGAAAACGGTACATTACATCTTAGTGTCATTAGGCAAGTAATTTGGACCTCATGGCCCTCTCTCCACCCCCAAAAGAGAATCCTGGCAACGCCCGGCAATTGTCGGCCCATCCTTGGAGAACAATGGTCTAGGTTCTGCTCTAGAACCCACTGAGGTTCATTTTAAAGAGATTGCTTAATCTCAGCTGTCAGTGATACAGATAATTTACAAACAAGCTCTTTTAAAAACAGGAGCAGAAAACTTCTGAGTATCGTTTTCAGAGCATTTGGAACTCCCTCATTGTATAGACCTGGCTACAACTTATTCAAAGAAAGAACCAAAATGAGACCTATCATGCCACATCAATGCTTACTTGTTTGAATCTCCAACACTGTTCTAGGTTTATCAACAAACAGAATAAGACATTACTACAGTGTTAAAACGCTTGATTGCTACAATGTTATTTCCTAAAGCTACTATTTTGTCACTGATTCAGAAGCTTGTTTCCCATCTTTTCCCATCTTCCCCATCTCTATTAAATAAAAGCTCCCCCAATTCCTGCATTTGCTTCTAAAATAATAGTGTTCTTGAATTTTTCTAAAACGAACTTTGATATCATAATCTAAAACAATCATGCTAATTTTAATATCTGAAAAACAATGATTTAATGGTCGCTTCAGAAAACACAGTCAATTTCAGTTTAATTGCTTCTTATTTCTCCTGTGCCTCCCAGTTAAAGGAGACGATGACAAGTTTATGTATTCCTCACATCCTGAAATGGTTGGTGATACTCAGCTACAGTGGTGCCATCTCATTTGTGATGTCTCCAAAACTTTAGTCCTCTATGAAATGTACTGCCCATGTAACGTGATTTAAAACAGAACAAAAATCGAGATATTTATAACTTTAACTCAAAACCAGCAGTTTAAGTACTTACTTTACAATATCTCCTTCAAGAGCGATCACCCTCTTAATGATCTTCTGTTCCGGGTTTTTAGGGGACCTGGAATAAGATAAGATTATACAATCAGTTATGTCTCAGTTGTCTTAAGAAAATAAAAAGAAGTTCTACAACCAAATAGGCTGTGTTAAAGGCATGACAGAATCCTGAATCATGACATTCATTCTACTTAGGTCCCAAGTGATTTGGAGTTACTGCTGGAGTAACTCTTGTTTTAAATCTGTAGAGGCCGAGAAGCCATGCTGAAACTTTACAAAAACAAATGTGGAGGGATATAGACTCTCATCAGTAAAGCTAAGTACTTGCAAGAAAGAAGATTCATACATAAAAAAATGATTAGACATGTCTTTAAAATGATAACATGCTTCAATGTCTTTATTTCATTTCAAATGAGCAGAGGAGTTTCATTTAAATCCTCAAGAAAACACTGAGAGTGAGAGGTATTTTTTTGAAAAATTAAAAATTAAATTAAAAATTAATTAATTTAAACGATATTTAGGTTTAGCCATTTAAAGAGGATGCCATTCAGAGTGCTACAACAAGGCCACTGACAGTTAAAAGACATTGATAGGTTGTGATATTCTTAACACAGACATCATTTACTTTAAACCATGCTTAATAACATACAGTGAACGTTTACTTAGAGTAACACCGTTTACTCTGAAAGAATATGTGCCCCCCTCTCTCTTCCTGCCTCCCCCCTGCTCCCCACTCACTCCATCTCCGGGATCTCTCACTCTGGGGGAAGCCATGTCTGTCCCCAGCAGCCCCACTGACAGACTCCTTTGGGGAGAGACTAGGAAGCAACCCTTCAATCCAGTCTTCAGAGGGTGCAACTCTGGCTAACACCCTCACTTCCAGCACCAGACCACCCACCTAAGCTGCCTCTGGCTGTCTGGTCCTGAGACATTGTGTGAGATAATAAATGTTTGTTTTAAGCTGCTTGAGTTGGGGTAATTTGTTACACAGCAATGGGTAATTCAACCTTAATATGTCCAATTTCCTGCCAATAACATTTAAAGTCTTTTGATTTAACAGGCCTGTTTCAAGGAACATCTCATATATCACAGAAATGATCATTTAATATGTATCTGAATATCACAGAGAGATAAAAAATATTTCAAGTCACACTTGAACTGAATTACTTTTTAAAAAGGTAAATGCACAAAAACTGAAAAGGTTGAATATATTCAAAATACAATGCTTCATCAAAAGAAATACAAAGTCTCGATAAGATGAGTATTTCACATTATATCTTGCAAAGAAAAGTGAAATCATCTAAACCATTTGCATCTACTTGTGACAATGAGTCTCACAATTTTTTACTAAACTACTAACATTCTTATTTTTAAAAGGAAATGTGATCAGAATGTTTGGCTGAAGTGTCCCTTCAGTGAATTGACTAAACATTATTTTTCTATAAATTTACTGTCATTTATGAATAGCTGGGCACATCTTCAGACCTTCAAAAAGTTTCCCTCCCGTGTCTCTCTGTTTAGATAAACAGAAGCATATAAAATGATATTCAACCTCAGTGATCACCAGAGAATTACATATTAAAACAATGGAGTACCATTTTCCTATTATACTCACAAAGAAATAATATAATACAGCTTATTGCTGAAGGTTTAGGGACACGGATACTATGAATATAAAGTGTGTCATCATGTACAAAAAACATGCCTTTTTGTAAATATATCAAGATGTTCTATTCTCTTTAACACACCATTACACTTCTAACCTAATGTAATGACTATGGATGTATACAAGATTTCACCTACATGATGTTGTCTATTTTTAAAACAGAGAAACAAATTCACCAAGAAGAGATTGGTTAAATAAATTATAGTCTATCCACATAATCAAATATTTCCTGGTGATTAAAAGATATGTTATAAAATAATTTTAATGGTGTAGAAATATCAATAGACTGTAAAGATGAAAAATGCAAGTTAGGAAATCTTATGTACTGCACAACCTCACATCTGTAATTATAGAGAGACAGTACCGTGCAGTGGTTCTGGGCAGAACCAGGAACAACACAAAACGAAAGGCAGGCGGGAGGGAGTCCCATGTGTGATAAAACACAGGCCTGGAGTTTGCGTTCACATTCCTGAGAAGCCCGTTAGCAGGTGACAACCTCTCGTGTCATGTGACGTCACCTGAGAAGAAACGCTCCCAGGTAGGGGAGAAGCCTCAACTAATTACCAAGCTCCCCCCAGCCAATAGCGATGCAATATTAGTGGTCATGAAATAATATGAAAAGCAACCCTCATCAGCATAAAACAATATTTTATGCCAACAACTTTTAAGCCTTTGAAATACTTGAAAAGTATTTTATATTTTTAAATAACCTATATTTTAAGATCATGAAGCAAAATAGAATATGCAAAGCGAGCTATCTATATAATTAAAGGCTTATGAATTACTACTTAAGTATATCTATAAATTTTAATGTAATATTAAACTCGAATCTAATCAAATGATTCAAAATGAAAAAAAAGCTATTATTAACATTAATCCCATTACTGCTCAAAATCTAGATCTATATTTTAATCATTAGGCTGTTGATTGCATGACTTTGAAATAAGTAGAAGTGGGATGAGAACTATCATGGATTTACATTGTGAAAGTCATTGAACTTCCCTTTGTCTAAATTTTCTTGGCTACTTGCCTGTCTCCTAGGAAGTGCAGAGAATACCAAGTGAGGGACTGTGCCTTACTTTAGAGATACCATGTATTCCTGCCCAATAAACACTAAAATTCACATTTAAATTTATCATTTTAATGGCTGCACAGTAAGCATTATTCCACAATATTTATTTCTGGAGCCTGGATTTTAATCATTGTTTCATTCAATCGATGCTTTAATTAGACAAGCTCTCTGCAGAGGCTTGGATGAGAGGCCTAGATTTGTCTCGTGACTGTGTAGGTCAGTTTGATTTGGCAAAATTTGTCTCTATTAAGTATGGTTGTGGGGAGGGGATCAGGCTGTAGCTGAGTCATAAGCACATTTTTACGATACTTAATATTCTTCTTCTTGAATTGCACTTTCTATGTTAATAGAAATATTGCTGTTTTTACCCCATGACAGGCCAAACAGAGTCATCATGTCTGTCATCTTTCTGACTTCATGCTGTTGCATGTTCCCAAAAGGCCATCATTTTGATCCTGTCTGGAACCCCAGAAGGTACTTAGAACAGGCAAGTGAGGCACCCTTGTGTTTTGTGGGGATGGGGACATCAGAAAGTGCCCTGCCCTCCCGGTTCCCGACCCCCACACCCTCCTGATGCCACACATTTACCTCACCCTGTGTCCAGGCACCTTCATTCTTCTCTCTTTTATAATAAAATGTGTGGCTTGTATAGATTTTTATATTTACATGGTTCAGGAGTCGCCCAGATTGTTACAGAATTAATATCGGGATTACAAGTCACTTTCGCCACCGCCTAATATAAACACTGATCCCTCAAAAATACCACAGATTATTGGACACTAATTATATTGCACGTATTACAGCAAGGTTTACATTTTAACTCTTCTTTAATGAGGTAAAAGTAAGAACTAATATTCCAGGGATACCGTATCTTAGATAGGCTATATTTTACTGTCCTAAAGGGTGATCATGCATTAAATCACGCACATAACTTTATATCAACATAAAAAAAGAACAGACATATTGCTGCTTTAATCATCAAAATAGGGTTTAGAATGAAAAGGCCACACGACATAGTTATAAAAAGTCATATCAAATACAACTGTCATTGTTTTCTTTTCTTTGTTTTTAATTTTGGAAAAAGTTGCCTGGGTTTGACATAGTTTTCATAGGTTAGCATTAGAAAAGGCCTGTGGGTGGATGTAGCCCTTTTCCTGCTATTTTTAACTGTGCCCATTCTTCATGGCCTGAGTGCTTCTGCTTGGTCCCTTGTGCCCTGCAAATGACAAGGACTTGGACACAGTGGAAACGGAGTCGGCTGTCACTGTCCCATCTCTGCTGCAAGGGAGCTGCTGACTGTAGCTGTTTTGTTTGGTCCATCACCCTCCTTTCCCTTGTCATTCTTCCCTTCTTTCCTCCCTCCCTCCCTCCCTTCCTCTCGCTCTCCTTCCCTCAGCTTGAGAAGGAGACTTTACATCAAAGTTCTAATTTCTTGTTCTCAAAAAAAATTAGAAAATAGACCCACATTGTTGAATGAACGAAGTCCCCTAGCGCTGAGAAGCTCATGCTGAGGATTTGCCACAGTGCCAACAGCCCATTGCACAAATGTCAGCGCCCGGGGGATGTGCATTTGGGAACCTCCGGAAGTCCTGAAGACCGCTTCCACCTCCAGCATCACAGGACTGCTGAGCAAAGGTGCAGGGAAGCTCTGGCAGAGGGTCTACAGCATGGCAGGGACTCAGCAAACTAGAGCCATCCCTTCCTAAAACAAGTTCATGAAGGTGATGAACTAACTGGGCCCAGGCAAACCGTTACAATCCTTGTCTTAGGCTTCCGTAGATGGACTACTTATTTCAAGAACCCTCTGATAAAAGGCTTTTCAGGGTCTGTTGCATTAGAATGCAAAAAAAGGCATCTTAAAGGTTTGGTCAAGTTTTATGACACAATTCATTTAAGAAACATTCACATGAAATATCATTGTATGCATATTGGAAAGTCACAGGCTAGTTTTAAATCAAATGGGTATTACCTGTAAAATCAAGTCATTCCCAGTGTTGGAATCTATGTTCTTTGCTTCGCTATCAATACTGTGAACTTTGTGCATACAGCCCATTTTTAAGAATTCACTTTTTAAATTCATTGCAATTTTATGAATTAGTACTCTCAAGCTTTTCACTTAGGTCAGTACTTGAGGTGCATTTTTGCCCTTTGCAGATTTCTCTTTGTATCCTGTGAATGTTTTAAGCTTAAACAAAGGAGACTACATCGACATTTGTTGTTTTTTGGGTTCATTCTTGAAATCCTCACTAGTATAATTCAGAAAAATTATATATATATATATATATATATATATATATATATATATATATATATATATTTGATTTCT